TTGACATCATCTTTTGAACAGACGGGTTGCTCTGTAAAGTTAGGGGCAGACACATTGTATTCTTGAGGAGGAAGAAAGAGATATTTGTAGTACTTTGAGAGAAGCCATCGCCCTTTGCTTTGTTCTTTTACTGTATTTAAGTAAGGACCTCACCATTTTCCTACTACATTCATTTTATTTATTTATTTATTATTTTTTATATTAAATTGTACACTGAGACAACTTCTTTTACGGAGTTTAAATTCAAAATCTTTAATATAAAAAAATAATATTAAATTACTTAAGATATTAGTTTCTATTACATTTATCTTAAAATAACAATTTTTAGAGATTAAAAATTTTAAAATAATTTATATTTTGAAAATACCACATGTTAGTTTTGATTCTTATTCCCCGTTTAGTTCTAAAACAATAATAGATGCATTTTGATTTTAAATATTATAAATTTGGGAATAATTTTTATTTTTATTGATATTACATTTAAAAAATAAAAAATGAGATTAAAATCATAATAGGATGTATAATTAAAATCAAAAGATAATAATAAGCTTAAATTAAGAAAAAATATTTGTCTTCATTAAAATATAAAAAATAATTATTATTTTGAGATAAATTCTAAATCAAAAAATGTTTATTATTTAGAATGAATGAAGTAAAAAAATTAGAATTCCACTTTTAAAAATACAACCATTGAATAAATATTTTCAAATACCAACTGTTGAATTTAATGTTTTATTCCATTTTGTTAGATTTAATTGTCTCCTTTTCTAAATAGGGGTGATCTAATTTAGTTATCATACTTTTTATTTTAATAATATATTAAAGGTATACGTGGGTGTTGCGATCCAATGGTTATAAGCTAAATTATAAGGTGGATTTCCCAATTCAAGGGTTGGGGTTTAAATCCTCTATCCCCAAATGTAAATCCATTCAAATATATATATATATATATATATTAATGGTAATATTTCAATTTTACACTTATCTCAAAATATATAGAAATACGTTAAGATCCTCTCATTTAATTATAAGTAATAGTGAAAATGGAAACTTAAGTTATACTAATTGTAGTAAATGAATTTCTCAGTAATTGTGAATAGATAACATGAGACAACTAAATTCAATCATATAAAGTTTTAATAGAGATTATGTAAATTAATTTTTAAGTTA